TTCGCAAGCTCTCGAGCAAAATTTCTGTTCTTCAACGGGCATATACTTCTATATACAATATCAAGGTGAATTTTGTACAGTAATATCCCTTTACCTTAATATTATTTATTCTTTCTTTTCCAAATAATATCTAGGTAACTCTCTGTTACTCACATATTATGATTTATATTTTGCAAGTGTTTACGAACTTTTGGGACAACCTTGGTAATATTGGTAACTTTGGTAAAATTATAACAGAATTCTTATAGAAGAATGATTTAATCTCTGATGTTCTATATCAAGGGTGGTCAATCAGTAGGTGGGCCAAGTTTCAGAATTACATGGCTGTCCCAAAAGTTCGTAAACATATGATAATTTATATTTTGCAAGTTTTTACGAACCTTTGGGCCAACCTTTGTAATATTTGTAACCTTGGTAAAATTATAACAGAATTCTTATAGAAGAATGATTTAATCTCTGATGTTCTATATCAAGGGTGGCCAATCAGTAGGTGGGCCAAGTTTCAGAATTACAAGGTTGTCCCAAAAGTTCGCAAACACTTGTAAAATATAAATCATAATATGTTTACGAACTTTTGGGATAACCTTATATTGTTGCATGACCTCGTTAGGTATGAGACAATAGGCTATATGCGTCTTCATGCTTCGAATCCATTACAATTGTTTGAATCTTCAAAGTCTGATTTCTAAAAATTCTGTTTTTGGTATGTTAGGTAAAAGTGATAAAACAACTGGAGAGTGGTCAGAGCGGATAGTCAAACTTCAAGATAACACAGCAATTTTCATGACACACACACACACACACACAAATTATCATAAATTCTGTGAAAAATAATTAGATAAAAATACATATAAATTAACACACACACGAGCTAATATATTACAGAAAAAAATCATCAAGAACAATGATCTTCAAATCGGATTTCAATTATATATTCCTAATCAAGATGGGAATCAACAACAACAACTTCTTTATTAGGACATTTCCGTCTTGTAAGGACTCGCCATACATCATTTTCATGGAGAAAAGGAAAAAAAAAAAAACATAAACAAAGGAGAGAAGGGAAAATGAAAAGGAAATCAAAGTATTCAACATAACTATACAAATTAACTATGGAAGGAAATTGTTCTGTAATTTTAGTTCTTAGAGATTACCTTGTTCTCTAACGCTTTATGAAAGTTAAAAAATTCTATCGCTATATATATTTTTTTCTCGGACATTATTCTGACTAGCTGAACTGGGTTCACGTAGACTTGGATAATGTTCTTTAAGATCTTATTCCGTTCAAGATGAGAATCAATAAAGTCTAAAGAAGATAATGAGGCATTTTAACAAAATTCTATACACATTGACATTGAATTTTACCCACAATGTGAACAATGTGTTGCTTCAGTAGATAAGAAACTTTGAGTCCGATGACGTTCCTGATGTTGACAGGTGAAACATCCTTTTGTTTCCTCGACAGCTTTATCACTTATTTATTTTGACATTTCATATCCTCCAACCTTCCTTCCATACAAAGGAAGCATTGGGGAAGTTTAGAGTAAGGTGTTTTCCTAGTTAAAACGGATCTTAAAGGATAATATTCTGGTTCAAATTCACATAAATAGGTACCGCTCAGCAAGAGCAACCTAGTGCATGATAATTGAAACAATGAATAATACGTGAAGGTTATTCTCATATTAAACAAATTTTAACGCGGGATTCAATCCCGGTTCATGACTGTCGGGAATCGAGCGTGTTACCCTCTCATCCACCGACTTAAAGGATAATATGCAACAGAAACATACGAAACAATATGGACAAATACTATCACATAAATCAGGAATGGTAATCTTTTGAGTTTATATTCATAGAATTGTGATGGAATGTAATCAAACAATATCTCGCATCAATTATGACACCGTGTTTATAATCCAACAGATTGTAATCCCATCTCTTAGTGTAGGGATCGCCAACCTTTTGAGTCAAGAGTCAAATATTACAATTTACAAAATTTAAAAGTTTTTGAAGATCCACAAAAATGTTTCTTGCCAACAATAAATATTACTCTCACAAATAAAGTTTTTTTTTAATTAAAAAACTAATCTATTTATTCATATTTAGTATTGGTAAAGCACATGTGCTCCTGTTCAGGATATGCCTTTTTATTTTTAATATCAACACCTGATCTTTTTTTTTTTTTTCTATTATTTTTTCACATTTTAAGCATATTTACGCAAGTTTGGCCTTAAATACCCATTTCTTGGTTTCTCAAGAAGCCTCAGGGACCAAAATTCTTTTTGATCTCAGTGGTACAGCTTACTCCACGCTGACGAGCGCCAACAGCGCGAAACGCGTTCGTGGATGGCTTTTCTTGATTTATCAAAAAATTGGGTTGGCCAAATATCAGGGAACAGGCTAAATCAATGAATAGTTTATTTCTGTTCCACTAGATGGCGCTCTGTCTTCTGAAAAGCACATTGTACCTGGTTAAGATGTGCCTTTTTTATTTTTAATATCAACACCTGATTTTTTTTCTATCATTGAATCTAGGGCCACAACAAGGAATGGTACAAGTAAGATTTGAATGAAAGAACAAATACAAGAATCCATCGAAGTAGTTGAGGTGTTGAATAATAAACTTGAATCTAGGGCCACAACAAGGAATGGTACAAGTATGATTTGAATGAAAGAACAAATACAAGAATCCATCGAAGTAGTTGAGGTGTTGAATAATAAACTGGAATCTAGGGCCACAACAAGGAATGGTACAAGTAAGATTTGAATGAATGAACAAATACAAGAATCCATCGAAGTAGTTGAGGTGTTGAATAATAAACTTGAATCTAGACCACAACAAGGAATGGTACAAGTAAGATTTGAATGAAAGAACAAATACAAAAACCATCGAAGTAGTTGAGGTGTTGAATAATGAGGTGCCGTGAAGATTTCCCCCTAGAACCCACGGAGGCAACAAGCGAGGGCCCCTGGGGACTTCCCACCCCGCTTGATTAGGGTCCGTGCGCTGTTTAAGCTGAAATCAATAAGATCCGCGATAGCATTCGCTTGATTAGCCTTGGTTAATTCTTCTTGGAGGGCCAATTAAATGGCGTCCGGCTAGTTCCTTCTTCTTCTGATCTTCCTGCAATAGCTACTGGTAGCTTGAGCTATTTTGTCTCATCTATATTCCTCTGTTAATATTTGTAACAAATAAATTTACTAGAACGAAATTTGACAATTATACCGCAAATGTTTCTTTTGAACGAAATATCGAAATTTATTTTAAGGAGAAATAACAATTATTCCTATCCTTAGGGATGAAGTATGATAGGATGAATTGTGAAGAGCAATGATAAACGGAAAAATAAAAGTTTCCAGGGATGGGAATCGAACCCACAGTATTCCGCTTACTGGGCAGATGCCATTACCACTAGGCTACCCTGGAAATATTTTTCCGTTCGTAAATATTATATAAAGTAATTTATAATACAATATAATGCAGCTTATAATTGTAGAACGATTTATTATTTTTCTGTTTATCTTTACTCTTAACAATTCATCCTTTCATACTTCATCCCTAGGTTTAGAAATAATCGTTATTTCTCCTTAAAATAAATTTCGATTTTTCGTTCAAAAGAAACATTTGCGGTATAATTGCCAAATTCTGTTATACAAAAATAATCGCATTATATTGTATTTTAAATAAATTTACTGGCAATGTGTTTTTTTTTTCAATAATAGCATCAAATATTATCTCTACAGAGCTTACTGCAATGATATAAGTTATTCATTGAGAGGGTGTAACAAATAAATTTACTGGCAATGTGTTTATTTTCAATAATATCATCAAATATTATCTCTACAGACCTTACTGCAATGATATAAGTTATTGAATGAGAGGGTGTAACAAATGAATTTACTGGCAATGTGATTCTATTCAATAATATCATCAAATATTATCTCTACAGACCTTACTGCAATGATATAAGTTATTGAATGAGAGGTTGTAACAAATAAATTTACTGGCAATGTGATTCTATTCAATAATATCATCAAATATTATCTCTACAGACCTTACTGCAATGATATAAGTTATTGAATGAGAGGGTGTAACAAATACATTTACTGGCAATGTGTTTGTTTTCTATAATATCATCAAATATTATCTCTACAGACCTTACTGCAATGATATAAGTTATTGAATGAGAGGTTGTAACAAATAAATTTACTGGCAATGTGATTCTATTCAATAATATCATCAAATATTATCTCTACAGACCTTACTGCAATGATATAAGTTATTGAATGAGAGGTTGTAACAAATAAATTTACTGGCAATGTGATTCTATTCAATAATATCATCAAATATTATCTCTACAGACCTTACTGCAATGATATAAGTTATTGAATGAGAGGGTGTAACAAATACATTTACTGGCAATGTGTTTCTTTTCAATAATTACACACACACACACATCAAATATTATCTCTTAAATTAAATATTTTCTGCAAACCCTTCACAAAATACTAGTTAGGTATAAGTATGGGTCGTTATTGAGAATTTTTAAATTGTAATTCTTTGAAATTATCAATGAAATAAAAACCAAATACAGTTTAACTTGGATAATTCGAAAACCAAGTGAAAAAAAAAATTCGAGTTATCCAAAAATTCGAAATAAAAACGGAAATTATATTTATAGCAAATTCTAGGGACCAAGATAAATATTCAAATTAAAGACGTTAGAATAAAAGGCATTAGATTTATTAAAGTTTTACTGTATATATGCAATAAATACAGGATTCATTGAATATTAAGAAATTTCGACTTACATATTCTTTTTCTCGACTTAGAGCGCTATGTCCCCCTAGGAACACTTGTACTTTAGAGAGTAAACAAAATTGTGAAAGAAAAAGAAAAGAAAGATATTTTAAATATGAACAGGTCGTTTTACAATCATAAGCCGCATTATATTATATTATAAATTACTTTATGTATTATTTACGAACGGAAAAATATGTCCAGGTTAGCTTAGTGGACATGACATTTGACCGGTAAGCAGAACACTGTGGGTTCGATTCCCATCCCTGAATTTTTTTTTTCCGTTTATCATTACTTTTTACAATTCATCCTTTCATACTTTATCCTTAAGGTTAGAAATAATCGTTATTTCTCCTTTAAAATAAATTACGATTTTTCGTTCAAAAGAAACACATGCGACATAATTTTCAAACGTCGTTTTACAGAATTAGTATGCAAGTTAGTTAGATGAAAAAAGAAAAAATATCAACACAATTAATATATGTATAAAGGGTTGGTATGCAAATCTAGTTAAATGAAATGAAATAGTAAAGTATTGTGAGTTTTTTCGAGAAAAATCAATTTACAGATTTAAAAAAAGTTTTATATTTTAAAATGAAAATATGCTAGATATTTGAGAATTATTCAATTTAAAACAATACATTCCTATCCCTGGACACTTTATTTTTCCATTTATCATTACACTTCACAATTCATTATTTCATACTTAATCCCTAAGGTTAAAAATAATCTTTATTTCTCCTTGAAATAAATTTTGATTTTTCGTCCAAAAGAAACACATGCGGGATAATGGTCAAATGTCATTCTACAATCATAATCCGTATTATATTGTATTAGAAAAGTATAGAGCAAGACTTATTCGAACATTTATATTACGATACACTAGCATTACATTTCAAAGATGATTTTCAAAGGATTTTTGTCAGGAAAAAAAGCACAAAGAAGGTGTACAATTTGTTAAGCAATATATATTGGCAGCGCTAGTTGAGCCTTTAATCCCTCCATTATGACATCTGGTTAAAATAACGACGTCGGTAGAGAATAATGTCTTTTTAATCCAAGCAGACGATCCATTACAGGATGTCTTCTGTCCCATAATTAACATTTCTTATGGCCGTGTTTAACAGCCCATTAAATAAAGTTAGATCCACGTTGTCTACCTGATGGACGTGGATGGTATTTTTAGCCTTTGTTAAAAATTCTGTGATGGTTTAAAACGTTTGTTTCTTAGAGCATACACAATGGTATAGAGTTATTTTATTGCTAGAAGGTGCTTAGTGTTCTGTTTAATAATAGTATTGGTATATTACCTTGAAATTTGAAGCTAGGTCTGTGTTTTTACTATGTTTTCTATGTGGGGTTGTTGGAAGGATGGTTTAACTGTTGGTTTTTGATCGCTAAGATTCGGGTTCGATTACCGCATTGGGCACTTTTTTCTGATTAAAAATCTCTCTTCTTTCTTATCTACACTCAATCATATTAGGGTATCAAGCTTGTTTGACAACCATCATGACTGGGTGAAGTAGAATGCGTCTGCCTTTGTCATTAAGACTGGGAGCACTACTCAGTGGCTGGCCGACTTAGCTCCAAAAGAAATGGCCGCCTCTGACATGAGGAACAGACCCCATGTACAGCTGCTCCTAACATGGAGTACAAACGCTGCTCATCCTGTATACCTGGATTAGGAACCCTTACAGGGTACTATCAGCATGGCCAGCTGAGCCCAGGTTTTTAGTGAGTTTGTCACTGCTCCCCCTCCTCCTTTTTCATCCGGGCTTGGGACCGGCAAAGGCGGAGTTCTGATTAAAAATAAAATGCTCCAGTGGTCCTCGATTCTTGCAAAAGTCCAACTCCATCAGCGAGTGCAAGTAACCAACCGGGACTTTGACAGATTTGTAAGTGCAAAGTAAAACTACTTTTCACATGTGTAGACATGTGGTGTACTTACAGTAAAGCAGTCGCCAACTTCTACCCACCATGATTAGCATGGCCTGTAACACGTGTACTAGGGATAAGCAAAACTACTTTTCACATATGCAGACATGTGGTGCACTTACAGTAAAAGCAGTCACCTACTTCTACCCACCATGATTTTTATGACCTGTACCACGTGTACTAGGGATAGACAAAAAAAAACTATCTTTGCAATTTCTTGTAGAATGACATTTTTTGAATACGCCACTAAACGCTAGTGATATATTTCGGAACAAATATAAATTAAACGTTAGATTTTGTATTTAAGAATAAAAAGCTCAATCATTTCTTGATATATCAAGTAAATCAAAGATTTTTCCCATATGTCTCGGACTGTTGGTCCTTGTTAGTGGGTGGAAACTGTACATCAAATGTCAAGATAATATTTTGTCTATAAGGTTATCCCAAAAGTTCGTAAACATATTATGATTTATATTTTGCAAATGTGAAAAAAACAGTACAAAAGTGAATTTGTATTTGGATCAGGTAGAGATGAATTAAGAAAAGTATTTGGCCAATTCTGCAATAATTAAAAATCAACAATTATTTGATATTTATTCCAATAGATGGCGCAAGCCATCAGCAACTTTCAGTTGCACGATCAGGAAATACCTTTTTTCTTAATTTTACAAGTGTTTACCAACTTTTAAGACAACCTTGTAATTCTGAAACTTGGTCCACCTACTGATTGACCACCCTTGATATAGAACATTAGAGATTAAATCATTCTTCTATAAGAATTCTGTTATAATTTCACTAAGGTTACCAATATTACCAAGGTTGTCCCAAAAGTTAGTAACACTTGCGAAATATAAATCATAATA